CAAATCACGGAGTACTTCCTGGACTCACACCACCATTTCCCATTCAGTGTCAAAGGTAGGGAGACTTCCTGATGGTGCAGAGGAGTTGGCGTTCCTTTCGTTCCTTGGCTGTAGGTGTGAGTAGAGACTGCTCACTTACACAGGTCAGCCAGAGGAAGCCGACGGATCATGCTACCAGCCACAACTCAGAGACGGGACAGTACTTTCCACATCCTGCACAGGCCTAGCTAATCCTGCTCCCAAAGCAATTCTTGTGCTAAAATGGCCTCCTTTAGATTCAGCCCCAAGGTTCACCATCAAATAAGGCAGAGTGTGGCTTTCTGGGATTAGGACTCCAGAGGGCTACATGAAGAAGGCCAATGACCAATAGGCAGGGTTCATGTCTCCTGCAAGCTTCTAGCCTGCTGCTGTCTGTGCCCAGTGCCAAATGTCTGCCCCTCCTCTTGGGAACAGAGAGGGTGACCCAGTGACTCATGAACCTCCTAACACACCCCGTACACACACCTGGTACTGCAAATCTCAAGAGGCAAGTCTTCCACGGGCCTCATTTCTCCTCACGGTCCACCTGTGGGCCTGTTTTCTTTTGTTTTGTTTTTCCGGTTTTGTTTTGTTTTGTTTTTAGTCAGCTTCCTCTTCTCCAGCCTCTTGCCTCACGGTGAGGCTCAGGAGGTGGGCCACCCATTCTTAGATGTTCTTCTAGATTCTTGGTTTCCTTTTTTCCTTCCAGTACGCGAAACTCTGAGAGGCACGGTCACCTTGGCAATGGCCACCCATTGCAATGGCCACCTCCCTGCTTGCTTCTGTTGTTTTCTTTCTGCCCCGTAGGTGGCGCCACCTTCCCTCCCAACAACCTCAAACAGTGACTGAAGCACAATGCGTTGTGGCCAGGAGATTCAGGCATTGCTTTCCGAGTGTAATGGAGAAAGCTCAGTGACGCGGGGACTCCCTTAGATTCCTCCAATCTTCAGCCCCAGTTTTCTAGTTATTTTCCTGTTGAAATTGCTACCGGTTTTGAAGGAGTAGACACCTTGTGCTGACGAACTGTGCGAAACACCGCCCTCTTTCGTTCCTAGCGTCGGAAGGCTGGACTGCCTAAGCGCCCTGTGCGTTAAGACCGCCATCTGTTTTTCCGAGTTGATTTCGACTGGTGCATTCTCACTTATCAGGGACCTCTGATTCTAAAACAAAATCAGCTACTTATTCTAGTTACTGTAAGCAGACACATAACTTTTACTGTAATTTGAAAACCCTTGCACTGTAATGGTATTTAAACAACAAAAAGCAAATCCTATTGAAACTGGTTTTGTATTTTTGATTACATCTGGATTTTCACATTTTTGTATGTAACCATAACCACAGCAGAGCTTCCATAGCTTGTGTTCAAGGCCTTGTTTTCTTTCCAGGTTGAAGTCTTAAGATTGTGTTGTCGCCAACAGTTTAAGGGGGCAGGATTGGGGCCTGACTGGTGGCAATTGTCACGGAGGTGTCCCTGCTCTGGCGCCAGGGAGACCTTGCCTAGAAGAGCAAGCCGTGTCGCATACCATTGTGTGAGTTCCCACAACAGCTCACATCTCCAACAAATCCAAGGCCAACGGTTTGGGCCCAACCTTTGCCAGGGACTGTCTCGACTGAGCAGCCCCCACCCCTACACTGCCCAGAGGCCTGGGCAAGGGAGGACATTTTTTACGATAAGAAACTTTTGGAATTGATTTCTGATTATGATTTCTTTCCCTTCCCGCTGGAAACGTGCTGGGCAAAAGACAGCATGGTGTTATCGCCCCTCTGCTTCTCCAAACCGACACACCTGTTGTGCTCCCTCGTTTCTTAGAGAAGAACATTCTAGGCACAGATCTAAGTACGAACTCTTTGCCTCCTGGATCTCCGCTTAGCAGCTCTCCCTGTGTGTTTCTAACTGTTGATGCGTTTTCCTTCTTAGCATTGCTTTTCATATTTCACTTTATTTTTTTACTGAAACAGCAACAAATCCACAAAGGAACAAATTATCTCTTTTCCTCTCTCTCTCTCTCCTTCTCTCTCCTCTCTCTCTCTGATGTGTAATGTTGTGTTGTCCAGATTCTGTATAAAGATATGTATATGATGTATCTGATATCTGGCAGCCTCTGGCTGTTACTTTAACCAATATAATTAACAAAAATGCATAATGTTGGTGTTTGATTTTTTTTTTTTACAAAAAAAAACCAACCTAGTTAAGATGTTGTGTATTTTTGCATGGTTAAAATGTACTTAGTGCATTAAGCAGTGTCGTGGAGGTGCACCGTGAACAGGCCAGTTTACTTTTTATTCCCAATGGTGACTGGTTGTTAACCAGACTTAGTCCCAATGATGTCTGTCTGCTTTCCTTTAGCATAATTCTATTTATAACTTGTGTTTAGTACTCAAGGTTCAACATAGCATATCTATCTATCTCTATTGTATTTACTGTTCCTTAGAACCAGGTTGTGGAAGTCCACCCATCAGGTACAGGTGTCTCCATTGCTGATTTTCATTGAATTATGCTCCAATAAACAACTGAACAGTCCAGCTCTAAAGCACCAGGCCCTAGAGACAAGGGCGGGCATCTCTGCTTCCACTGATCTCTCCCTCTGAGCAGTACTGTGTTTTTCCCCTTGTCTTGGAACATTAGTTTTTCAGTCCTAGTTATATAAAGGAAAAGAAAGGATAAGAAGTGAAGTGGGAGTCTAAGAATTATTTATATTTTATACACAAGAGTACATATAATATATTGTAGATAGAGAGACAGACAGTAAATGTTGAGCTAGGCAGACAATGGGAGATGTTGAAGGAGTCAGAAAAAGAGATGAGGAGCTTTCCTGCCTGGAGTGACACCAGATCCACATGAAAGATTATGTAAAATTGGTGGCCTTATTGTGCCTCAGCTGTCTCAAATGTGAGATCAGGAAGGGTGGTGACAGAAAGGGAGACCGTTACCTTCTCCTGGGTCTTCAGTGCACTTAAAGCAAAAATGGATCCTGAGCTACCTGTGAGACTGAACTGCTGTTTGGAGACAGAGCTTGCAACCTCTCCCCTCCTCCCTAGGACACTAGACTTGCTAAGGGGAAGACATATGTTAAAGAGACTATTATGTGTCAGGATTTTCACAGGAAGTCTCTTCAGCAAGATGGTTCCTACACAGATCGGATGACGTGGAATAGCCTGCAGTATCTCTGATCAAGGGAGTTGGGTCCTTGCCCTAGAATATTTTCTCTTTGCCAAGTCTGCATCTGTGGGCTTGTTTGCTCCCTGGGGGTAAGCAGTTTGCCATTCCATCTTTCCCTACCCTAGACTCTGACGGACAACCCCTCCCCTTGCTGGGACCCAACACGTACAGTTGATATTAACAGCTTTGTGGTGTCTGTTTCCAGGATTGGTGTTCCTCGGACACTAACTTGTCTTGGAACATAATGCTTCACCCCTCTGCAAACAGGCTGCTTCCCCTTTCTGAAGCTGAGGTCAGAGTTAGGTTCCCAAGGTCCTGGTACAGAAAACCATCTGTCCAATGGCCAGCTGAATCAGAACAAGTTCTTGACTGTCTATCTTTCTCTTCAGAGTTAAGGACTAAACATACAATTCACAGACATCTTCCTCATGGGTACTCAGGTCCTTGGTTTTGTACCCAGTGGTCCTCAGTGGTGTGAGTGTTTGTCACATTCCTGTCAGCTGCTGGTGGGCATTTTCCAGAATGTATTGGGTACTCTTCCTCTTTTCCTTCAAAGTCAAGGCTGGCTACAGAGAAACAGGGTGGCACTGTTCTTCTGCAGGCTTTCTGTGGCCAGAGTTCAGGGACAGCAGAGCCAGTATGCTGATGTTGGTCTCCAGTCTCTTGGAGGCTGTGAGGACATGGACTTACTATTTCCCAGAAGCAAGCATACTCTATAGGTACAGGGCTGTAGAAATCAGCCCTTGCCCTCCTCTGTTTCAGCTGACAGCACCTGGAACCTCAGACCTGAATGCCAGAAAAGCCCCTGAGAGCCTGAGGACCTGGGTTCTCCTTTCACAGATGAGGCAAGTCACGTCCAGAAAGAAGAAATAGTGAGCAAGGGAACTTAGCAGAACTGATGGAGCTACTTTGTCCCTCTCTGATGTATAACCACCAGCTCACAGAGCTCCTTTAAGTTTATGAAATCTGGGTGGAATAGCCCCAACCACCATGCTCCACATTCCTAAATCTCTTCATGACCATGGGTGATAGGAACATACAGGTCATAGTCCACTTTTCCAGCCTGCATGAGGCAAGTTAGGTTAGTGTTAGGCAAGGAAGGTTAGTGTGTGGGAAAAGGACTGAGCCCATTTCCTACGTACCTGTGCTTTTGAGAGGCACTGAATAGCAATGAGAACAATGGTAGATTCTCCACTTCTGTTCTGCCCTTCCAGCTCTCCTACTGGATGGGTTTTGGGTTTTCCTTGATGATCACAGCAGTTTAACTATCCAAATATCTTCCCATCCCTGAGACCTGGCCCCTTTCCTCAATGTCTTCCTTCAAGGTTATCTCTATTCCAGAGGCCCCAGTCATTCCAGGAAGAACATTCTATAGCTTTTTAAACGATCTTTCTCAGAAAGCCATGATTTTTGGTTCAAGCATGTCTTCATGTTTACTTTAAAATTTCCCTGTTTCTTTATTGCAACTCTCTCCATCAGCTTTTATCTCCCCGGAGCCACCGGAAGCCATTAAGTATTTCCATCATGCAAAATGGAAGTTTCAAGGACTTCCATGGGTGTCATTTTACCTCCTTGCTTTCCTCTTTCAAGGAGCTTGGCAGCCCCATTCTTATGTGGCCATTTTTTATTTTTTATTTATTTTTTGCTCTGGGGACCCTTGAGATTTGTCCCTAAAGCTTACAAAGATCTCATCTAGAATGTGCTTTTGTGTGAATTTTTGGAACATAGTTCACTGCTGAGGCACCTTGATTTTTACTGTATCATCATGGATAAGGGCCATGCCTCTTTGGCCCCAGCCTCCAGGTCTTAAAAAAGTCTTTTTGTTTTGTTTTGTTTTGTTTTTGTTTGCTTTTTATACTGCATAGAGAAATGTTTTTGATTCCAGTTAGACTGGGGGCTGTTTCTTGAAAGAGATCAAATTCCTGAGTTGGAGATTTTTAAAGGGTTTTATACCTTCAAAGAACTGCTGCCTTAGCCCTTTAAAGCCTGCTTCCAAGAGGCCACTTCCTATCCCCGAGTCTTCCTCCCACCCCCAGTGAGCTGAATAGATGCCTGTGCCTTAGCCAGAGGCCCAGAAATGACCCCAGACATCTTTGGTACTTGTTCTCTGAGATGTGCCCCAAGCCCCTGCAAAGTGTGAGTCAAATGTTAAGGTTAAAGATTCTTCCTTGAATTCTATGGCCTCTTATGGCCCTGTGAGAGAAAGGTGAATCTATATGGCCAGTAAGCCACATATCCAACTTGTTCCATCGAGAAAAGGAGCTGCCACCACTCAAAATTAGGACCATAAGCCCTGAAATTAATATGATTGATATTGATATGACAATTACCATTATTTCTCTTAAAAAAAAAACTAGGAAACAATCAAATTTGTAAACATTCTTTCACAATCTCCCTATCCTAAAAATGACTCCTCCCTATATCCCATCAGGGTTATTGTAAGCTTTTGTCATCTTTGTGTATGTACACTCTCTGCATTCATAGAAAGCCTTCCATTCTGTCTGTTACAATTTGCTTTCTGAACTGTTAGAGTAGATCTTTTGTTCCTGTATTCTTAAACTCTTCCAAGAATAGGCAGGGCTGGTGAGCAAGCATACTGTGCACAGTAACACTCCAGCCCAGAGTTGCTGCCCCACCCCTACCCCCAAGATGGCTCCTCAGAAGGATGCCTGCAAGGCTAGCAAAGCAACAAGGGTCTTGCCATGAATACTATGTTCCTATGGCTCGCTGGCAGACGTTCTGAAGAGTGTTGCCTGCTTCTCAGTGTGGTAAGAGCAGAGCTGGAGAACAGGCACTGGTTAAAAACTATGACGGTGACTGCCCTGTCCTGGTGGCTGTAGAACAATGGCTGTATTCTAGTTTTTCCTCTATAGCCCCTTCCCAAGTGGCTTTGAAAGGAAAGAGGATTTGTTTTGTACTGTGTATCACTTAGAAGACAGGTTTAATCATGAGCTAAAGAAGGACTAGTCAAGGAAGTCATCCACCTGTCTTCTTTAGCTTGGTCACTAAACTTGCTGCCAATCTTGTTTTGTCCATATCCCCCACAGCATGCTTGCCACATGTTTTTGTCACTGGCTTATTACTAAAATTCTTGCAGTCCTGTTGCTCACTTTTCTTAGGGTCCAAATAAGACAGCATCCACCACAGAGGGACCAGACATGGATCTAGTCCCAAATAGCTGGTCATTACAGTATTTTTCTCCTGCAAGTGTCTCATCTCCACCAAGGTCCGTTAGGGGCTCCCAAATAATTTGAGTCTAGCATCTCCAAGCTGCTATACCTGCAGGCTCCAGGCATCCCATAAAGAGCCTTTTTCTGGCCTGCTGTCTCATGCTGGAGGATGGGAGAGTTCTATCTGCTTTATCCAGGTCATACTTGGTTAGTATGCAAGGGTAGGTAGTTGTACATTTTGTCAGAAACTGTCCCAGATCCCCTTTCCTACTACAGAGCCTTATCAGTCAGACCACCCAGCTTCTTACCAGAGGTTAGCCCAGAAAAACAGATAGCTCTTGGAGGTCACCCCTCCCATAGCATTGTAGGTTCATCTCCTTTGTCTGGAGCATAGAGAAAGAAAATAGTTCTGCTCTCCTTTATCTTCTGCATGTCCCTTTCTGAGTAGATTCAAGTCACGAGAGCTTTTGTCCGCTCCCCAGAGGCCATGTGGGACCCCATAGTTGCACAGCCCTTATAGATAGCCTTGCATCTGCTCAGGGGAGGGTGCCCACTCTCCAGCTGAGTGGAGGTCCTATGGTGCAGGCGAGCATCTAGCCTGGTTTTCCAGGATGCATGGCGTTCAAGACCACTGAGATAGACCAGCAAGGTGAGAGCTGGGGTCTTGACCTAACTTTGGCATAAACCTTGGTGCTTCCACCTGCCACTCACCAGAAAGTGACCACAGGAAGCAGTCTGGACAGTTGCCCCAAGTTTTGGATGAGCCTTCTTTCCGTGGAGCCTCCCAAAGGGCAAGCCCTCTGCTATTGTGTACTGTAAATCTGTGCTCCAGGAGCTGAAGCTTGCTGAGCTTGGGGAAAGTAGCTGAAGAGAAAGGGCCCCCTTCTCACCTTTTGTTTACCTTTGATCTGGCTAAATTTAGCTGCCCTTAACTTCTAGTTTGCTAAAATCCTTATTGCCTTAATGACCACCCACCAAACAGTCAGAACCAGGCGAGAAGTCCCTCCCATGGCATCCCTTGGAAGCCTGCCTGTCTCCCCCATGCTGCTGTGCCTGAAAGGAGATCACACTCCCTCTCCAAAGTCCAGGGCCCACATCTCACTGACAGAGCAGTGTTCCAGGCTGAGGACAAACCCAGGACTGCTTAGGCTGAGAGATCCCCATTGCCCACGGCGGCCACCGCCAACCCTATTCCATCTTTCGGTCTCCACTGCTTCAGAACTGGACTCCTCCCTGTCCTCCACCTCCACCTCTCACCCAGAGACCCTTCATCCCATCATGCTCAGTGCTGTTCCTGAAGACCATCTAGACTTTTCTGTTCTCTGGAACATTCTACTCACCTTCAGCTGCAGCGTATCCCTTCAGCCTCTCCACCAAGCTCTTTAAGTGTAAGGCAGCGGCTGTCTTCCCTTGGACAATAATGAATGTATCTACTGTAAGTGCAGACCGTGTAGAGAAGTGGCTGGGTTCAGAAAAAAAAAAAAAAAGAGGGTTTTTGTAAAGCCTGTTTATTTTTTTAAGTCAGTTTTGAGCATTTCTATTTTATCACCCTTCACGTGGTTTTGGGGAACCCAAATTGTATCAAGGTCTCATGCCAAAACAAGCCAACAATTGTTTTCTTTACTTTTTTCCTCCATGCACCATGATTTCAAAGATTGTTTTGGTGTCATTTTAAATGTTTTATTGTGACATGTACTGACGATAAAAGTCATCTTGACAAAAAAAAAAAAGATTTATACATGAATCAGAAAGTATTTATTTCAATTTTGTACCTTTCCATTTTAATACATTATAATGTATTGACTCAACTGAGATAATATAAACAGTTCATTTTAATAACATGTGTGTGTGCCTTTTCCTTTATGTATAGTTGGGGTGGGATAAGCATTCCTGGGGTGGAGAAAAATGAGTGTTCACTGGCCTCAGTGTGAGCAGAGGGAGACCTCCCCTGCACCAAAGGCTTCTGGGCTCTGCTTGGAAGCAGCCAACTGGTACGTCTGCGAGAAGAGACATGGTGAAGCAAGGAAAAGAAGAATGGAGGTAAGTGGTGGCCTGCTGGACAATGTTGATCCCTACTCTACATTGTATGTCCCTTCCCACTGGCAAGGCAAGCCAAGACCACAATGGCCCTCTCACTCCAGCCCCATTTGTGTGTGTGTGTATGTGTGTGTGTGTATGGGGGGGGGGTGTACGCATGCCCATATCTACTGACTCTGGGAGAATAACCTTGGCTGTTCCTCAGATGACAACCTCAGTGTGTTGTGCCTCTGGTGCTTTCTGCCTTTTGTTTGAGGGAGAGTCTATCACTGATACAGAACCTCACCAACTGTGCTAAGCGAGTGGCTAGAAAACTCTAGCGATCTGGCTGTCTCCACCTTCCATCTTGTTATGGATGGATTACAAGCATGAGCAACTACACCCACCTTTTTTATGTGGTTCTGGAGATCTGAACTCAGATCCTCAAACTTCCAAGGCAAATACTTTGCCCACAGAGCCATCTCCCAATCCCGAATCTCACATTTCATTCTGACGTTAGGGAAAACACAAAATGTAATAGGTGATTTGCTGAAAGGTGGACTGAAGATGGGTAGAATAAGCAAAGAGGCAGGACAGGGGTAAGAGGAGAGACATGTCCATAGGGTTGCAACAGTTTTTAAAGCATATGCAGCAAACAGGTGGCAACAGGAATTATGGACATAATCCTCTTCTCTCCCTTGCTTGTATGGACATAGTTCATTTTCAAACTGTGCAGTTTGCAGAGAAAGTGGGAAACATATGATTTCAGAGAAATCCACATCAATGTCCTCCTTGGTGCAAGGGACTCCATGGAGAAGAGTGAGAGTGAGCAAGTGACGGAAAGAGGTGCAGAAAGAGGCTTTGATCCGATTCAGGAGTCCAGGACTCTGAGGAAGGTACATAAGTCTCAACAATTGGTCCATGTCCCTTGATGTCCTATTTCCTCAGGCCCCCACAACTTCCCACATGTATAACCTTTAAAAAAAAAAAAACAACTTTATTTTTATTAAATTAAGGGGGCGGTACGTGAATTTGAGTGCAAATGCTTACAGAAGTCAGGAGAGGGTGCTGGAGTCTCTGAAGCCGGAGTTACAGGCAATTGTGAACAACCTTACATGAGCGCTGGGAATTGAACGTGGGTCCTGTGCAGGAGCAACAATTGTTCTTAACTACTGAGCCAGTTCTGGACCTGCCCTTATATCCTCCTGTGCTCCCCTTCCCTCATATCCTATCTTTCTTTTCCAGGAGCAACACTGAAAGAAAGAACCTGCCTTTGCTTTTGAATCTCCTACCCATCTTCAATCTTTTCTTCCAAAAACATGTGACCCTGGTACAGGGGGCTGATGACTAGATTGTTCCAAGGTTCCAAGTCAGTATTATAGAAATGAATCAGTTGCCAATAATATAAGTATCAGTCCTATAGAGGGGGGAAATTTGAAGACACGTGCACCAGGAAAAACACAGGAATTCCCTCTGATACACTCATCCCTAGATACCTTTTTTAAAATTCTTGTGAAGTGATGGAAATTTTGGTCTTATAAGTTTCCAGCTGTTTAAAGAAGGGCCGGGTTCTGAAAGAGATGTAGGAGGCTTGTGCTGGTGTTCTTCAACTAAAATTCTTCCTACAAGTATGAGTGTATTCGCCCGCCTAAATACTTGCATCAAAGGAATTATGGGAGACCCTTCCCTGGGTCTCCCATATGCTCTTTCAACATATGGGTCTGGAATTTAAGATTATTACTCCGTGCCAATGTGTAATTTTGTCTATTTGGGCCAATTGAGCTGCTGTAACAAAAAAACTTAAAGCAGCTTATAAATAAGCTGAGTCTAAAGTCAAATGGCTGGCAATTCTGGTTTCTGTGAGGGCTGATTCCTGGTTACCAGATGCTGTTGTGGTGTGCTATATTCTCAGAGCATGTGAGAGAGGAGGAAAGCTGGTTCTCTTTCCAAAAGGTGTTAATCCCATCAGGAGGCTCCTCCTTCATGATCCTAAACCCACCAAAGGTCCCACCTCCTCATGCCACTTCCTTGGAGTGGGGAGTGGGGGGGAGGGTTCAGCACATAAATTAATCTCATTATAGTGGGCCTGCTTTTCTCTCTGGTGTATAAGAGAAATTTGAACTTTTTTGACTTTGCCAGTTGAGGTTGTGGGAGGGACTATTGCCAGCAACTTCTGCACTTGCCAGGGTAAACTGCCTGCCCCTCACCCCTAGGAGGTCACAGAGCTTTCCCAGCCTCTGACCATCTTGCACAGTGAAGAGGCAAGTATGAGCATACTTTTCTGATGACAAGACAAGTAGCAACTGAGCCATTCCTATTTCTGCCCTCCCCTTCCATTCATCTTTCTTTTCCTGTTTTGAAGTGTGACATCTTTACTTTTTACCTCTGATGTCTGAAAAATCACCTTGATTTAGGAATTCCACTCAGCAAGGTCTTCCTCCCTGGGAACAGTACTCTAAGGCTAGTTAGAGGAAAGCATATAGCAACCCCTTGTTCAGGTCTAGTTCAAGCTACACATGGATGAGCTCTGATGCCCATCAACCAACATTAATAATGGAAGAGGAATGACTATGTAAGGCACAAATGAATCATGGCAACATGCTCTCTTCCTGGAGAATCGATCAGGATTTAGCTGAGAGCAGGAATTTTGCTCTTATAGCTACAGAATATTTTTATAATGCACGCTAAACTTCACACAGATAATCTCAGGAACTTTCCCAGTTGCCCCTTATTTCTACAGTGAAAATTTATCAGCTTACTTTTTTTTTTTTAATCAGTAAGACTATAGTTTCTGCTCTAGGCAAAATCATGACAGAAGCAAGTTCCCTGTGATGTCCTGATCAACTTGCTTAAGACTCCAGACCTGCATTAATTGCATACTTTCTTCTCTGTTCTCTCCAAACTTGCTCCTCAAATTTTTCAAAAACTGGAGTAAATGGCCAATAGAAGTTTACAGTGCTCCCTAAACATGTTTTCAAACAGAACACAAAGGCTTCCAAATGTAGCTGATGCTGTGATCCAAGAACTCTCACTGGAAATGCTCTTCATTGGCAAGTCCTCCGCTTCCTGTAAAGGCCCTAAAGAGAGGGGTGAGAAGCCATACATCAAAGCCTGTATCCTCTCTGTGTGAGGAAATGCTTCCGTGTGCCCTCCTGCTTTAAATCCCACCATTTACCTGGTTTTGGGCTTGGTGATACAGATCAGGAACCCTGGCCCAGGGAAAAGGCGAGCTGGAAAGAATTTGGGTCACAGCCCAAGGTGTTCTAAGGGGGGTGATTTGGTCATACCCAGCCTCACAGTCACACCATGATCGATATTTACTGCCTCTTCGTGTTTATAATTCATATTCAAGCACAAGATCCTTCTTGGCTCGGTACTATCACTCTCATCAAAGAAGTGACAGTCGCGCCTGATTCTCAGGTCTGTCGACTCCCAGTCCTGAGCTCTTCCCCAGCACAGCCATCAGATAACACCACTTTGTTTCATCAGCACAATGGATCTTAAAAGTGCTGCACTGACTGCAATGGGGTCTACATGGAACCTTGCTGGGTCTGATGAAAAGTGGATGTGACCTTCCTGAAAAGACAAAACAAGGAAGAAGAGCCCCTGAGAAGGACAGGGCACTGGCCCGTGCTGAAGGCATGCCCACAAAGAAGGTGTGAGAAAAGTTAAGGTCTAGACTGGAGGCTGAAGCCTTGACAAAAAAAAAAAAAAGGGGGGGGGGGGGGCGTGGAGGAAATCATAGGGAAAGCTTGGGGAATAGCTGAGGTCACACATCTGGAGGCGAAAGGGCAGCAAAAAGAGGGCGGGTCAGAATGTGACAGGATGCATTCAGCAAACGCCAGGTATGGCAAACTGAGCAATGGAATTGGGAAAGGGGGGATTTAAGTCTGTCACAAGCAAAGACCATGGAAGAGTTAACATTTCTCCGCCACTGAGCACAAAAACAGTGTTCCGTTTGACTTTGTCGGCTAGATGCCTCTGCCTTCTCTCCCTCCCTCCGTCCTCTCTTAGCATCCACACTGGGCAGAGGTACAGCGTGAGGAACGTGGGCCCCGTTCCATAATGCCAATACCTTACTCTTCAGCCGTCTCTCCAGCTCTTTAAGGGTCCGCATGGTTCACAGAACCACGAACAGCTCTAAGGTTGCTTGCATACCCCCTTCCAGAGTTAAACTGTAAAGTGCTTGAGTCCCACAAGCTCTGCCCTAGCCTACGGTAAATCTGCCAGTCCAGCAAGGCAGTCCCGCCCCTCGTCTTTACGCGGTCCGTAGCAAGTCGCACATGGTGACGTCAGTAGCCTGCGCCCCATTGCAGCCTTCCGCCCGGCGTGCTCGCCTAGCCGGCATCTACCTTAACCTCACTTCAGACTCCTCGTAATCACTGGGCACCGGGCTAGAAGCTGTGCTTGGCAGACTTGCGACAATGTCGATGCTGGCGGAGCGTGAGTGTCGGACGAGCCGAACGAGCGGGTGATGGGATGACGGGGGCGCGGGTGTCCGGAGCCGAGTGGGGGCGGCAGTAACTGCCGGGCCTGCGAAGGATAAAACAGCAAAGTCCCTCAGACTCTGTTCCTGGTACAAGAGGGTCGCGTCGCTTGCGCACGCGTAGGCGTGCATTCCGAGATTCAGGACACCGGAACTCAGACTGTCCCTTGCGCTGGCCGTCGTGGCCACCTGGGCGGATTCTTTTACTTCTACGGGCTCAAAACAAGTGTTTTGGGTTCCAAAAAGACAGGTCCCGTAACATCGCTTCAGGCCCTGAAATCCGACTTTCCAGGATGTATTGGACCCAGAGAAGAAAAGCAGAAGGATCACAAGTGTCAGACACTGATTAGCCCCTGGTGGGAGTGCAGGCTGATGAACCGTTCTAAACTGGGCGAGGTAGCCCTGGTTAGAGGCGACACTGCCTCTTTGCCTTTTAACACTTACCACTACTCTGAAGTCCGCTAATTCCCCTTCCCAGAGGCTTCTAAATGAGACATGTAGCTATGGATTCTTGCCACCAGTTGGCAGTCGTGCGATGGTCTTGAAGATGGGCTTTTTAACTTTTCCTGGAAGTTGTGTAGTTTTAAAAGGTGTCATTATGGCGTTTTAGAACGGAGCGTGTGTTAGTGGAGCACCCTGCACATCCTGCAGGCAGCTCAACAGTTTGGACTGGAGAGTGTCCTTGCTAGGTAGATCAGTTGCTTTGAGCCCCTTTCAGATAGGTCAGCTGGTCTCTACTTCTTCCATCAAATTGAACTAGTCTCTGCCTCATCCAGGCTTAAAAATTTTAGTGAGGTGACTGCATGAATATAGTTTGGAGTGTCAGTGGTATACGGGGAAGAACAATGGGGAAGAACAATTGGCCTGGCAGCCAGTTCCATATGTAGCATGGCAGCGCATCTTACGTAAGAATGTAACAGGGATGCATTTCTTGTTGGAAAGGTGGGCTCCTTACAAGTCTTAGTCAGTGGCCCCTGGCAGGCATTCTGCAGACATGGATCTGACATGCAGAATACTGGTTATCATGCTGTCATGGTCGTGTTCATGAGCAAGACAGTGTTGTGCTGAGTATATACCAGGTTGTTGAGCTAGGTGGAACAAGGTTTTGGGTCAGCTTTTTTCCCCCAGGCGTATATCACTGCGACTCAGGGTCCAGCTCAGTTTGTTTTGTGGTGGGTTTTGTTTTGCTCTGTTCCTGCCTGCATGCTTATAAAGGGTTTCTTGGTTTTTCTGAGGTCTGTATAGGTACGGATGCCCATTGTTTCACGTGCAGCACAGTGAGCCCCTCTGACTAGAGGCTGTGTTATTTTTCAGTTAGGAGGTGTTGATCATAGTGTGCTTAGATAAATGCGGTTTGGTGGAGCAGTACTGACATTCAGATTCCTTCCTTGGCCACAACTTTAGGGATTCAGACTCTTGTTCTGTTGACCTAATGGGTTCTTTTTCTGCCATAGTTTTCCCTCCAATTTGTAACAGTGAAACCATGTATGGTGGCTCATATCCATAATCTCCAGAGGATTGCCGTCAACTCTAGGCCACTCTAGGCTACACAGCTAGACTGTCTCAGACAAACAAACAATAAAACTGCATTGATAAACTTGAGTTCTTAGTGGTCGGTTATTTTTATTAATTTCAAACTTCTATGACACCCAATGCTGTTTCCTTCTTTCAGCTATTTATTTCTTTCTTTCTTCATTGCTTCTCCTTTCTCATTTCTTCATATATTCATACATTTTTATCAGGTGTCAGCTATAGACTAAGTGCTTTTTATCTTCCTCCTTGCAATGAAGCTAAGGATGAAGGATTGACTATGACACTTAAGGGATATAGAGTAACAGGATCCAGGAAAGATGGGTATAAATACCAGAGTGCAGTGGAATGTGAAATATCACAGATTATTCTGGAGGCTAAATGAATACATTATGGTACTTCATGAAAAGGGAGGTACCATTCTGTTAATCATGATGTACTGTTGTCTCTCTCTAAGATCATAATAACTTGTGTATTGTGAATTAAGACTGTAAGTTGATCTGGGCAGGATAGTACACACCCATAGTGCCAGTACTTGGGAGGCAGGGGCATTAGGATCAGAAGTTCAAGGTCATCCTCAGCTTCAAAACAAATTTAAGGCTAGGCTGGCTACTACATGAGTCTCTGTCTTACTAGTGCTTCAAATAGTAAGTTTTGAAATCTGTAGGACCTTGGTTTGTATAAAAGGTTTGTGTTTTACTTGGGGACATTAGGCATATTTTATTCTTCTAGATCCAGGTTTTTTTATTTGGAAGGTAAAAGATAATAGCTCCCTTCTTTGAGAGACTGTGAACATTGAATCTAATATGTGTGTAGTATTTGGCCTAAAACAGGCAGCAGTGAGCGCCATAGTGACTATACCTGCTGCTGTGAAGGTGTTGGCAAGAGGGGCCTTGGCTACTGCTGGTGACTGGACAGGGAATGCTCAAATAGTCTATCAGGCATTTATTTTGCTTTGTCTCTTGGAGAGAATAGTTTACTTTGAATTTTACAAGGCCAGTTTATATGTCAGAAATGTGTGGTTACTCGGAATACCAGGGGAAAGGTTCTGTCTGTTAGCCCCGTGGACACTCAGTGTGTCCTGTTGTATGAAGCATGTGCTGATTTGCATGTGCTCTTCCAGGTGAAGACGGGCCGCTGATGATACCTTTCCATTTGCAGGTCGGCGGAAGCAGAAATGGACTGTGGATCCCAGAAATACTGCGTGGAGTAATGATGACTCCAAGTTTGGCCAGAGGATGCTTGAGAAGATGGGGTGGTCTAAAGGAAAGGTATTGAGTCAAAAGTGTAAAGTGTCTCCACCATGCCAGGGGACGAGGAGTCAGAAGACATTCCTGTCAGAGTCCGGGAGAATGCTGTGTTTTAGATTAGTGATTGATTTTAGAGAAGTAAGTTGTGACCAGGTGGTAAAATTAGACTTGAACATAAATGCTAGGTCCTCTGATCTATCAGTTAAACTGCTGTGACTAGTATCTTTCTTAGTTATCTTTAATTCATTACACATGAAATCATTCTTAAGCTTCAGAGTTTTCCAAGAGTAGAATTTAATTTTCCTTTGTAGTAGACACAAGCTTTCTTGAATCTCTTCTGTTCTGCTCATTCCTACCTACAGTGGAGCTTCTGCTGTGAAACTATGCATCTGCTTCTGTCAGGGTTGCAGGGTTCTTGTGTTCGAATCCAGTGGACGTATGGTATCCTTAAATTACCTTACCCTTTAGCAGTGTTCTGATCAGTGGCTTTTGAACTCTGTTGTAGTAGCATTACTGCCTTTTTCCTTGCCTTATTCTTTATCTCATCAACCACCTCTAAATCACAACCATCATTTTGGTCTAGACCAGTGGTTCTCCACCTGTAGGTCGAAACCCCTTTGGGATCAAATGACCCTTTCACAGGGGTCATCTAAGATCAGTAAACACAAATATTTATATTATGATTCATAACAGTAGCAAAATTATAGTTATAAAGTAGCAACAAAATAATTTTGTGGTGGGGATCACCACAATCTGAGGAACTGTGGTAAAGGGTCACTGTGAAGCCACTTTACATACTCCGCTCAGGTCATCTGGGGCATTGGATTGCACCTCCTAGCTGTGACATTTGAGTGGCCATCTCAAGATTGTTTTTATTATAAACCTCTGGCCCCTCAGATCTTCTTCTTTCCAATTTTTCCTGATTTTCAAAACTGGTGCTGTCTGTTTCTGCTGTTAAACAGTGCTGCCTCCCATTTCCCTTTTTTTCCTACCTCTGTCCATTTCACAACAGCCAGAGGGGCCTTTCAAACTGAACTTCAGCTCATATTGCTCTCTTGCTGAAGAATGTTCCCAAGGATTAAAATTTACCTCTTTGCTCGAACTTTCAAGGTCCTGTGAGGGTTAGCCCCTGTTTTTTGGATTCTCTTCCCATTCACCTAGTTGAAGCCTCCCTAGAGGTCTTCAGGTCCTCTGGCCCATCAAGGTCTTTCTCACATTCTTTCAGCACTTACTGTTGGTATGACTTATGACCTTAGGAGTAAGAACTAAGTGAGGCCTGGGACCTGGAGTGCTCCTCCACCTTCTTTCTTCGTGTCATGGTGCAGTATTACGTAACAGAGACAGCCATGTGCTCCACATGCTCTATGGGCTTTTGCCACTGGCTGTGCCCTGCTCTCGAACGTGCACAAGATGTGTGCTCTACACAGTGTCTTCATGGACCCTGTTGGTTCATGGGTTCAAAAATCAGCATTCACGTTTAAGAGTACATTCTTGGTGCTGCAGACATTATCATCCAGAGCCCACTGGATCAGTGGTTCTCAACCTTCCTGCTGCTGTGACCCTTTAACACATACAGCCCCCACCACCACAACATTATTTTCATTGCTTATTCATAACTAATTTTGCTACTCTTATGAATCATGATGGAAATATCTGCTATGCAGTATATCCGATATGCAACCCTTGAAATGGTTATTTGACACCCCCCCCCCCCCGAGGGGTCACAACTCGCAGGTCAAGAACTGCTGCTCTTGTCTGTCCTTTGAAATAGATGGTGAGGAAAGACAATTTCTTTTTATAGCTGATAGATCTGCATTTCATTTCTTTCTGTTTAATCTCCACAGGGCTTGGGGGCTCAGGAACAAGGAGCCACAGAACATATTAAAGTTAAAGTTAAAAATAACCACCTTGGACTTGGAGCTACAAACAATAACGAAGTGAGCAGCTTCTTGGTGTCTTTTTTGCAGTATTGAGTGTGTCAACATAAATTTTGGAATTCGTACAAGTAGATGGGGTAGTTTTCAGTCAAGAGTATGGTACCTGCTTTGGGTGAAGAAAGACACAAGAGCACATGGCTTAGCTGGTCCTCTTCCTGTGACAAGCATCCACCACCTCACCTTGTCCTCCTGGCTCCTTTACTTAGTTATGGCCTAGAGAGACTTGGTCATTTCAGGACAGAACCAATTTTCTCTTTCCCTGCATCCGCATCCGCGTTTGTCTCATTAGTGTGGGCGACTTTGAGAGTGGGAGGTGGTGTAAGGAAGCTGTCTTGTCCCTGACACTTGGGGTTCCACACCTACTTACATGTCCTCTGCATTGAACAGACTGCGCTTGCGAGTCAGCGGCTGCCAGACGGTTCAGCACCAACTGTTTGTTTTCACTCAGAGTCAGCCCTTGAAGCTTTGCTCCTGAACTCCTGTAGCTAACAGAATCCCGTTAAAAACTGGGAGACATACTTTATGTATATTGAATTGCTTAGAGTAAGGCTGTCTTTTACTGGAACAGCTAAAGTCTTCTGGAATAACAGCTAAAATTTTAGCCACAAAAGAAAGAGCTTCCTTTCTGTTGACTGTGAATGCTGTTTTGAGAAACACAAAAGATGCTGTATTTATGTTCTTAGGAGAAGCATTGTGTTCTGTACACCTGTGTGTACACCTTAACTCTTAAGCTTTCTTAATAACAAATGCTTGTGTAAAGTATATGGGGCAAATTTGTGCTCAGAACCCTGCTGCCCACTGGATCATATTGTTTGGAAGTCTTTATTAGTGAACACCTTACAAATGAATCTTACCGACTCGAAGACTTAGGGTCTCCTTCCACAGAGTTCTGTAAAGTTGCTGCTGACGTAAGAAGTTAGAATTCAGCAGAATGGTCCAAGTTCTATTGAGCAAAGAGGACTATGCTGTCAGTGCTCTTGTCTTTAGTATGTGCATAGTGTGTGCCCCCACCTCCAAGGCTTAATTTATGTGTATGGGTATTTTACCTGTGCATATGTGTCAGTACCACATGCTTGCAGTACCCATAGGTGCCAGAAGAGGGTGTGGGATCACCTGGGACTGGAGTTGCAGACAGATGTGAGCCACGGTGCGGATGCTAGGGATTGAACCTGTGTCCTCTGTAAGAGCAGCCAGTGCTCTTATCTGCTGAGTCATATCTCCAGCCCCCAATAGTCTCTCTGTGTGAGAAAACACTAATTTTTATATTGCTCTAGTGTGAGACTTAGCAGATATTGCCCATTGCTTTGTTTTTGCTCTGACTTAGCTGTTGGTGAGTCATCTCCATTTGAAACACAGGTTTGAGCTACCAAGCAGCATCCTCTAAATATATATGTTTATTTTGTTGACTTCTTGGTGCTGGGAGTCAAACCTGGGCCTTACACATGCTCAACAGTGACTCCAATACTGAGCTTTGCCCAAGATGCTCCCCCTTTGATGTGGATCTACTTAAATCTCATTTCAAGTTTATACTATTTTGTGAATCCAGTTAAATTTATTAAATAAAATGTTAATGAAGCATGTACAATTTCCTATTTCTGTTATCTGTCTATATCAGCAGTATAGTAAGCTTCGGGTTTGCCTCTCATACTCTTTGGTGCTTCCAGGACAACTGGATTGCTCACCAGGATGACTTCAACCAGCTTTTGGCGGCACTCAACACTTGCCACGGTCAGGAAACAGCCGGTGAGGACACCAGCACTGCCGCTGCTCCCATCAGAATCTCACTTCTGCTGCAGGCCTTTCACCTGAGTCGGTGATGGAAGCGATACTCAGTTCTTTTTATGTTTAAATTAATGGTCCTGGCACTGAATGAGCTGTGGCTCCCTGATCCATCTTGCTGATTCTAGAGACATTTTCAATTGTCATAACTGTGGGCATGTTACTGGTATCTGGTAATGCTAGAACCGTGGCTAAATGTCTTGCAGCATAGACAGCTGTGTCCCACAGCAAAGAGTACTCACTTTCTGGAAGGAAACTGGGGTGTATTAAGGGACACATGGATGCTTCTAGATACTGGTAATGCTGGTGGTCTAACCCTGGATGAAGGAGCTCACTTTATAATTCTTCAACTGTGCAGGTTTTAAATATATCTATATGATACACACATGTTGTAATGAAAAGAATTATAAGCTTTACTTGAGTCTGGTAGACTTAAAGTAAATAAAATACAGCATATGCAAGTAATGCTATGTGAAGACTGAAATGAAAGTTAGCTAAAGAGTGACAGATACAGCCTTCCACCAGAAATTCCACCTTAGTAAGTACTTGTAACATCTAAGTGTCATGACTAGGACATGACTCAGGCATGAGATGCCTTTGCCACCAGTGTCCTCATGGACCTCTGAACCTGGGATCCTTTCTTCAGAGTTGCCCACACTTGATTAGTTCCTAATCAGGGAAAACTGTTTGTACTGAGCTTGGCATTGTTACTGTTAGTGCTTGGTCCCTCAGAGAGTGTTCCTGACTTTCAGGCCACAGAATTACCACAAAGATCCCACAAAGAAGGGAGACCTGGGATGGGTTGTGTGGCTAGAGAAGCAGTGGCCTGGTTTTGAGATTTGCAGTGGATATCTTGAAAGTTCCATTTTCCTCAGTCTGATGGTGTTGTGATCACTGTTTTCTAGGTGAGAGGTGCCATTTCAGTTTGGGACTCTCTCACTCAGGACAGGCCCTCCCTTGTCCCACACTGATGGCTAAGGCTGGCAGGGATACTGCAACAGCCCTTCCTGGAGTGTCTAGGCAAGGGCAGACAGTGGGTGTTCTGAAGGACCCATGGAACTGAACTGCTTGTCAGGAGGCCTCTGATTGACTTCACAAATAACAACTGGCTTTCTTCCTCCTCCTCCAGGGTTAGTCTGCATGGGTTTTGTTTTCTGTGGTGCCCAAACCAGGTAGTATTTTAAATGATGCCAAAGCTTCATGCAGCTACCAACCTGTAGATAATTCCTGTCCAGACCACTAGAGGGGGCCAGTAGCTCTGCAAGCTTGATCATGCATTTAGAGAAGTTTGTCTGTGGCTCCAGTGCTACCTGGACTGGAAGGTGGCCTTCAGAAAATTCGTTTTAGGGAAAGCCTGTTCCCAGCACAGACCTGGAGAGCTAACAGGTTGTCTTCCTGCTGTGCCATTTTTTTTTTTAATGCAGTGTCTTCATCCACACAAGTTTGTTTTTTTGTTTTTTATTACAATCATGTATTGCTTGTATTCAATGGTAGACAATATAGGAACCTAGCATTCTTGTCTGTTGTTAAGCTCCTTTAGTAAACTCAAACCATTTGCTTTCTCACTAAGCAGACCTTTTGTGTTGTCCTCTTGTTGAGCATAAGAATCAGAGTGCTCTCTTAAACTTTATTTTTAAAAGTTCTGTTGTTTCACACACTTGGGTGTGGTAGTGTGTTTTTCCTAGCACTTGGGAAGAAGAGGTAGGAGGATCAGGAGTTCAGCATTCGCCTCATGTCAGTCGTCAGTTCATAGCCAGCCCGTGTTACACAGACAGAAGAGGGCAGGGGCTAGAGAGGTGGCGGTCAGTGAAGTGTAGCAAGATGGAGAAAGACACCCAGCATCCACCCCTGGCCTCCCCACACATGTGCACACTTTCACACACATCCATGCAGACATCTGCGTGAGCAAGGTTGTAACCCCGCCTGCACCCACGGGTGCATGTACACACAGGAAAAGCTCTTCTGGCTTTTCTCACTTAAGCAAGCCCTGACAGCTTCACATTAGCATCTTAATGACACTTTCTCCAGCCGTAGTGACCTCCTATTAATCTTCTGATATTTTAACACTCGTTATTGTAAGTATTTTGGGATGGGAAGTGGGGTGCTGAGCCCGCTCTGCTTCATGCTCTGTTTTGAAATTACTAGGTACACTAGTCACATCTTAGGTGGCTCGGTGGCCATATTGTAATCCACCTATCACCCTTTACTGCAGGTGATTAAGTGATATTCCAGTATCAGGCTCTGTCAGAGTAAGCTCAGCCATTTTGAAAGACTTTTGGGTTACTTAAGTACTGTATTGCTGGCCATGAATATTCATGTGTAGATTTTGGTATGAAGACATACATTTTCATTTCCCTTCTTTAAGGGTGTTATAGGCTAGAGATCAGGCTTTCCCTCATCTACACTTATAAAAACAAAACAATCCTTTGGTAACAGTTCAATAATAAGTGATGACACCCCTATAAAAGCTTGTCTAAGTAACAGCTTCCATGAATAGAATGAGTTACATGATGCTTAATGTTTTTCTTCTTTTTAAAGATTCCTCAGATAACAAAGAAAAGAAATCTTTTAGCCTTGAAGAAAAATCCAGAATCTCCAAAAACCGGGTTCATTATATGAAATTCACAAAAGGTGAGAGTGGGTGTTCACTTGTTGGAGAGTGTATGTTGGCCCTGGGTCTCCTGAGGCACTGGGATCTTGTTGAGCACTGCAGCTCTGGCTGCTCGTTTGCAGTTCTGAATAGGGAGGTCTGGGCCACCACCCTGGGTGGCAAGGGCACAGTGTGGTAGAAAGTTCCCCATGCTGACTTGCCAGCGATCTTACTAAGGTGCCGATTGTGGTGTAGTGGTGCCAAGAGCAGTCCAGGGGAGGCGTCAGACTGGCTAGTTTCTGTGTGGGCTGAGAACGGAAGTCAGCGTTCTGTTTAGAGGAAATGGGAGTCCTACGTAGCTACATCAGAAAAATCATTTTAATTTGCTGTTCTTCATTTTTCCAGCTTTTACCCTTTTTTCAGGGCTTCATGGTCATAGAGGATAGTTCCTGATATTTGGCATTTGGAGCATTAATTATATCAAAATCTACACTATAATGACTCATAGACCCAAAGCGGCCCTTGTAATTGTTTCCACAAGCTCTCCATCTCATGGAGTATCACTATAGGCATCCCATGGCCGTGGCCAGGGTGGTGTTGATAAATGGCAGTGGTTGGAAATTGGGCAGCAAAAGCTGCAGTGCCATCACCACCGTTCTAGGCCACCTTCCACCTTCCCCATGTCATTCATTTGTAGGTGCAGCTATTCTCTGTAGCCATTAGGTGGCAGTCGTGTATAGATGAGAAGCCTTTGCCTGTTCTAAACAAATCTCAAATGTTTCTGTAGAATGGCCACAAACTCTCTGCCACATGCTGTACTTCATGTATGCTAGGTGTAATGGTTACAGTTGGTCACTGTTTGATTGTTCTTTGGGAAATTGGATGTCTGTCTCTGTCTTTGTACCAGGAAAACCTTATCTTTCTGCCTTGGTCTCGTCATGCTGGTGGTTGCTTAACTCCCACAACCTGTCTGAGTAGCAGTGGGGGACAAAGTCTGACTGAAAACTATTGATAGTAGCTCTCCCTCAGGGCCAGGACCCCAAAACGTAGAACTGGAAAAAGCGAAAGGCATGGCAGAGCCTGGGGTTTAGAAACAGAGTGAATTCCAAGTTCTGTGGGAGGAAGTAAGGTGTTTCCTTCCTTCCCCATGTGTTGTTTGAAGGGCTCCTGTATCCTATCCCTTTCTTTTTTACAGGCAAACCCTTTTTCTGGAAGCTCATAAGGTTTCTAACCAGGACTTATCTCCATCACACAATAACCTATTATTATCAGACAGAAAACTACTTTGCTTCTTCTAGACCTTTGGAGATGAGGAATGGTAACTTCTTAGTCCCCAGTCCCTTAAACAGCACTTCTTTCTTCCTTTCACACTATAGGAAGACTAGAAACACTGCAGAAGGGTATTGCAGAGCACACAAATGGAAGTCACATTTGGATGACATGCAGCCTTTCCCCTTCCCTCTGATATACGTAGTCTCGTGATGGTCCTTTAGTGCCTGACTGCATGCCTGATTTCATCTGAAGCATTTGCTAAACTTAGGATAAAGCTCTCTAAGCTGCTTTAATCTGTTGGATACTGGCCGTGTCTGCCTTCTCTTTCTATCTAGTTCAGCCACTCCCTTGCCGGGGACCCTGCCAAACTGCTTGATGTGTTCTATCTTCTTTCTCTCTCGCAGTGAGGTTTGCATACTTATCAGCCTTCCTCATGAAAAAAGTAGGCCTTGGTGTACAGAGAAGAAAGAGCTGGAGGTGTATTGTGCTAGAGGGAAAGGAGGTGTCAGGAAATAGAAGACCCAAAGGCTGGGAATAGGAAAGGAAGAGGAAAAAGAAGTGGAAATCCAGGTAGTACAGGAAACAGCAGACAACCACCATCTGCATCATCCAGTAAAACTTGGAGTTACAGTTTTGTTTTGTTTTTAATTTCCTAAAAGCTGTTTCTTTTTACTTGGTCTTATCTCTCAGTGTGAATGATATTCATGAACTGTGAGGTTGTCCTAAAGGAGCCTGTCTGGGTCAGAGGAAACTGGCTTCTGGCTGGTGCTTTCCCAGACACATTCTGAACCATTTTTCTTCCTTCAAACACCATTTCCTCTTCTGTAACAGAGGAGGTATTTGCAAGTTGTCATGAAGCTTAGCTAGGCTCTGTGGTTTATGAGACATGGACCTTCTTATGGAACTTATACATTCCCAGCCTTGTGGAAATAGGGACTTTAATGTTCACAATGAAAGTACCTAATTCCCTTTGCTAAGTGAGGATGAATCACATTGTAAGCCCCTATGTGGTCCAGAAAAATAAAATGTAGGTGGTATTCTATAGAGCCTTCTGAAGACCTTCCCAGAGCAAGGGCCAGCCATTGTGGTGTCAAGCACCTTTATTCCCAGCACTGGGGAGAGGCATGCAGATCTTTGCATCCAAGGCCAGCCTCATCTACATAGTGAGTTCCAGGCTAGCCAGGAACTGTAGGGTTATATAGTAAGATCCTGTCTCAAATAAAAATTACAGAACAACTAGCGGAGCAAATGATTCCATAATATCTGCTACTACCTAAATTCCAACTACATCACTTAAGTCCTGATGTATAATTTACTTCTTTTTATAGCTTCTACTTGATGGTTTTGATTTGAAATAATCAGTTATATAATTTTAAGCTACTGTCATCTATGTTTGTTTAAAATCAAGCTCCTCCCACAATATGACCCCTAAGGGGCATTGCTTTTATATTTAGTTTATTCTTCTTAACTTGAATCATGTACATGTATTTTGAAGGAAGCCAGATAAACCTTTTTTTTTTTCTTTTTTTTTTTAATTTTACAAATGTATTTACTAATTCAACACTTCTTTAGGGCTAGGGCTATAGCTATACCTCATTGATCTTATATCTGTGTTATAGTCCCTTTGCTTCCCAGATGCTAGACTGGAGGGTGCAGTTGGCATTTGTTGACTCTGGGAGTCACACTCTTCCTCTCAGTATCCGTGATTATCTGGAAAACCTGATCACCATGATTGATAGCCAGACAGGCAAGGCTGTCCTCAGTGCAGCATTCCTCAGTGAAATCCTATACCCAGCCTCGAATGGCTTTCCTTATGTCTGGTTAGCTCCTGGAAGCCTTTTTTCCTGATTCTCCAGATGCAGTTGTAGCTGAGCAAGAACAGCCACAATTAGATAGATGGTGTTTATTTTCTGCCTTCTTCAGTTTCTCTGTTTGCCATTTTGTCAGAGAGCTAAGTTTGTCAGCAGCCTTTGTTGTGATTTTACCATAGTTCAGAACTGAAGCTACTGTGTTTTTAAACTTAACTTGTATTATGTGTATTTTAGCCAGGGGTGACCATGATTTTATGGCATACATAAATTATTGAATCAAGACCATTAGTTGACTGCTAATTTCAAGATCACACCCATCTTTCCATTTAATTCACTTGTAGGTTTCTTCTCTAATGGACTCTGACTCTCATTTCTTTTCTGTGTTCTTGTTTTTCAGATTAAATCCAGAGCAAGTCCTGTACAGCCCTGGTTTCTACATTTATTTAAGTGAACTTTGCTAGAGGATAGAACTTTCTGACCCAAGAAACTCTAGAAATCCTAGCACCTCCATTGAACATTATTGGCTACTGGCTTGACAGCTTCCCTTTGAATCTGACACTTGTTTTGAATCTCAGTGTCTTTATTTTTTCACATACTAATTGTGAATTGTGGCCCCATAGTTTTTGTTTTTGTTTCTAATCTTTTGCTTTTAGTGAAATTGTTATAAAAGAGGTATGAATTTATGTTTCTTTTGGGATAGCTCCTCTTTTTAGGGTCTGGGTTAAGGGACAGTGTTCTTTGGTTTGAGGGTTCCTGTTTGTTTTTGAGTTGGGGTTCCTTTCACTGTCTGACACACTGGGTTAGAACAGCAGATCCTCTTGCCTCTGCTTATGGAGTGCTTGGATTACAGCGTGCATCATCATGCTTGGTTTCTGATGCTCATTCTGAACCAAGTTAAGCTGACTCTCTTTTCTGAGATACTTACCACAGTGAATGCACTTTGCATTAGGAAATGGGTTGCACTGGTGACAGCTGAGGATAGATCTCTACCTCCCATGAAGCTGTCCACTTCTCACTGCTGCAACCAGAGGTTGTCTGTGCTACCTCTCTGGTTGTATGTCCTGTGCTACTGTTTGTAATGAGCATCACTCAGTTCTCACATGTATTCTCCTTAGATTTATTGAATAGGGGTTCTTTTGAATCTGGGGTGCTAGCATTGGCCTCTGGTGGGAGGAAAACAACACTGGGAACCATCTCATCCCTCAGGAACAGGTTGTACCAACTGTACCATCTATTCCAGTACCACTGCCTCTGAAACTGGTTCTGGCACCTGGTTTTGCATCAAATTGAAGGGTGTTTTGTTTTTTCAATTTCATGGAGTCACTGAGCAGTGTTATATTTGAATGCCCCGGTGCTGATCAGTGAACCAGAACCTTCTGGGTCATGACATTACTTTGTCAAGTCAGTTTGCTGCAGAAAACCAAGACCATTGAGCTGGTGACTGTGGAACTTGGCTTCCAGCTCGAAACCCAGATTGCTGTGTGTGACTTGACCTCCCTTCCCCAGGTTAGCAGGCTTCACATGGAGAGTTAAGCTCTCAGGTGTACTTTCCTTGAAGTTGATGGATGGCAGTGGATTTGGCTGACTGCTCACAGGGTACTGTTCAATAGAAGTAGAAATTCCAGAGTGAATTTTAAATTAGCGGTTTGTGGGTTTGGAATTGAGTTAGTTTAGTTTTTAAAACAGGAATCACAGATTCTTTGGACACTGCTCTTACCAGAGCCATTTATTTCCCTGTAGTCACCATGTAGCCGTATATTTAACTGGTAAAGCTGTTACAAGTAAGAGCATTTTAAAAAGAAAAATTGACCTTTGATTTGCTTTTATTCTTTTAAAATTTCACATAGTTATTTTTGAGAACTTGTGTATCAAAACAAAAAAACATGTATTTAAAAGATTTGAGGTTGTGCGCCAATCTGAATTGTCAATTCTGTGTTTTGTAACCATCAGTAAATTACTGTGTCTCTGTGAAGGGAATGAGATTGTTTTGCAGATAGTGAACCGAGAGGCCGGTAAGTCCCACTTTGAAGCCATGGCAAGCAGGAGGGCCACTTGAAAATGGATCTTTCTGTGTAGTCTTTGTGCCAGTTTTTTTTTTTTTTTTTTTTGTTTTTGTTTTTTTTTGCAGTTTGGAGGAGACTGGACAGTTCTGATCCTAAGACAGTCCCTGAATCTTTGATTGTAGTCTGTGTTACTCTCAGAGCTGTAATGTGAGGTGGTCAGAGACAAGATGGACTCTCTGTTACCAGCCTTTTTTCTTTCAGGACTTATACATTTTACTTCTCATTTCAAAAGTAATGGTCTTACTGAAAAGCTCTGTGTTGTTTCTAGGGAAGGATCTGTCCTCTCGGAGCAAAACCGACCTGGATTGCATTTTTGGGAAAAGGAAGAGCAAGAAGCTTGCTCAGGTACCCAGCTATGGTGTGATGCTGTTGTGTGTTCTGTCTCTTCCCAGGGGTATAGAAACTTCACAGACAGCTACTCACCCTTCACTCCTACCCTAAACCGCTAGATCCTGGGGGCAGGGTGGACAGTGGGTACACTCTCCACTACACATGATGGCTTGTTTCAAAACTGGAGGATACAAATGAGCCTAGAATTCATAACCCTAATGATTCTATTGGGTTGTGTAGTGCACAGAACTTTTGCACTTTTTCCAAATGTAAAAGACAGCCCTGTAAGTCTTTCTGATGTGAAAACACTAGAGACTTTAGCTGAGCTTTTGGAGCTAATGAAAATGTATTTTATCTAAAAAAATCTAGAATATATACTTACTATAATTCTTCAATAAATCTGGTGTGTCATGTTTATGTTCCTTTGTTGGTTCCTGGCCAAGGTTTGTGGTGACTAGAACAAAAAGACAACTTTCATTATCTCTAGCATTTTTCCAGACTGACTGGTGTCTTTTTTTCCAGGGTACTAGATATTGTTACTCAATGTTATGTTTAGAAACTTGAGAATTATCTATGATGGGAGACTTTGTTGAGCAATTTCCTTTGCAAGTTAGAGCTGGATTCCTAGGTTGCCTAGCCCCTCTCTGCCCCACTCCTGAGCATGGAGAAAGCTGTTTCCTAGGGCTCCCAGTGGCTTGCTGAGACTGGTGGCTGCTGAGTCACACGGAAGGTGGCCTGTCCTCAGTGGTAATGTGTCATGATAGTGGAAGAAAATGATTAGTTTTTACTTATTTGTTTATTTTTAGCTCAGAGGAGATGACATAGTAGGTAAAGTAGAGTTAGGATCCCCAGAGCCCACATAAAAAGCCAGGTGGGTGTGATAGCCCTCCTGTAATTACAGCTAGAGGTTAGCATGGGGTGGGGAAGAGGATACATGCCACAGGGAATCTCTGGGGTGAGTTGGCTAGCCAGACTGGCTGAAATAGCAAACTGGATGAGAGACTATCTCAGTATATACATGGAGAGCAATAGAGGAAGACACCAAAGTCAACCTCAGGTTCTGTTTATCTGTACACACACACACACACATACAACATTCATATGAGAAAGAGCTTGTTTTAGTCTGGCTGATCCAGGTGAGGACTGTAGTGTGATACGGAACCTGGATTGAGAATGCCAGGGAACCCCTGAAACACAGCTGTACCAAGAGAGCTGCTCCACTGTCCCCCTGTAGCTGGGCTTCACAAACCTCCAGGTGCCACATAGTCGCCTGTAGAGCTTGCTGACCTGCAGATTCTCAACTGTGCCTGTCTGTGGTGTTCTTAGGCCGTGCCCACAATGAGAGGATTGCTTTATATGTACAGCCACATGCGTGCAGACTGCTTAAGACACCAAGCAAAGGTCTTCCTGTGCAAAGCCCTTCTGTCTTGGATTTCTATCATTGGGTTTGCTTTTGAGTTCCAGGTACAGCTGCACCTTACTTTAACAGTGTTGCTAAGAAACCTTACTGTGTTACTTACAACAGTCTGCACAGCCAACGGCAATAGGCTTTTGATTAGATTGGTTTGAAAATACTTCTTTTGGCTCCACTTCTCAGTTGGATTATTGTGTTTCCTTCTCTGAGCCCCCCATAGCAACATTGGCTTGAATTTATGTTTTTCATTGCCAAACATTGTGCCTAATGATTTCATTGTAACTAATGAAGAAATCCTTATGGACTTCTTTATCGGTCAAGTACCTGTAGGCAGGACAGTGAACAACTTAAAAAGAGAAAGGACTTGTTTATATTCTGTGCACCATCCACTATGCCACATGGGAGGGGGAGGGGTTCTGTAAATAAAAATTTCATCGTACTTCCTCTTAAAAATTAGACTTTAGGCTGGGCAGTGGTGGCGCACACCTTTGATCCCAGCACTCGAGAGGCAGAGGCAGGTGGATCTAGGTGAGTTTGAGGCCATCCTGGTCTACAAAGGGAGATCCAGGACAGCCAAGGCTATACAGAGAAACCCTGTCTCGGAAAAAAAATAAAATAAAATTGGACTTTAGTTGTTAAATATTTTTTAGATGATGCCTTGCATAACTTTGTGGCTGGATTTGAAATATCTTTTCTTCTAGGAAGTTTTTATCAACCTGCCTTCAATGCCAGGTACCATCTACTGGTGTCCATAGTAGATTCTTGAGAGGGGATTATGAGATGAATACTTGCTTGTGCTACTTTTAAGTTTTTAAAGATCAGTATAATGTGTCAGAAATTGATTTTCAAACATTGTCTCAGGCTTGAGTAGTTTCCAAGCTGTTGCTGTTTCTCTGCTGTGGAATTCAGAGCGTCTGTCACCAAAGGCCTCTGCTCTGACTTTCCTGCTGACTTTGTAGGTGCTCAGCATTTCTTCCAGCTGCAGAGGCTGTTGGGAGGAGCATAGTTCCTGTCTGTATCTGGCTATTCAGAAGGGCTTGTTTAGTGAGAAAAGGAACATCACAAACTGCCAGTTACCCAGAACTGTTAGTAAACAGCGCTGTGCAGAGATGGATGGCTGTACCTGCCTAGCTTTCAGGTTCTTCCTTTTCCCAACTTGGTGATATATTATTTGGAAAACGGTGAAGTGGAGTGCTCCCTAAATTGGACCTGCATCCTCTATGGAAATAAAGAAATGGTCTAGTATAGTGAATTGAAATTACTTGGGCCTTAGGAGCTTGTTACTTCTGGGAATTATGTATATGTTCTCAATAGGGGGGTAGGGAGGGAGGCATATTGGATGGTGTCATTTCTCCCTAGTGGAGTGTTTGTATGTGTGTGTGTGTCTCCCACAGTTTGCAGATTGAAATTGGAGGGAGACACTGAAAAACAAATTCCATTAGTTCCTATCTGGTTGAACTTCCTGATACTCCCTAGTTTGTTCCCCCTCTCATTTTTTTTCCTCCCCCACCTTTCCAGTTTCCTTCCTCCATCCAGCTTATTTCCTGATTCAGCCTTATCACTAGAGAAAATACTCCTAAACTATATCGAGGTTTAGAAATGTGTTACTAACAGTCTCACTTTGTTTCTTTAAACAACAGGCCTCTGGCATGGCTCTTGGCAAGCAAGTATTGGTATCTTCACCATAAGACCTGACTGAATTAGAACCTTGTATATTTTTTGTGTACACTTAAGATACCAAATTAATAATGGCTTTCTTTGCATGACTTCTTTAAATGTGCGCCTTTCTCATCTCATGTTAAACATCCCCTTTGTCATGTCTTGCTCATCATTTGATCTGAAAAACTGCTTCCATGCAGACCCCTTTTCAGTTGTTTGGTTGGATTCATGGAGTATTTAGACCATTCTTTTTTTTTTTTTTTTTCTGGTTGGATGCAGTACCTTAAATCTCTTATAAGAAAGCTGCTTACAAAAATAGTTATTTTCTTCAAAATGTTAAAATATTTTTTACTTAATATGGCTTTGAATTGGAAGTGTGTTTGTCCATTCATTCCAGATTTCCACGCTAATAATCTGTACTAGTGATCGAGGTTGAATTGCTAAGTAATTTACAGGATGTTTATGTCTACTCTGGTCATGCCCACCCTGTCCTTAGTGCAGAGCCAGGCACCAGAGAAGCAGGCATTCCTGATCTAAGCTAAGCACCTTCCAGTTAGAGTAAATCTGACCTAAGCCTATAAAACATGCAATACGATACACTTGAGTTGTATAGTTGATTCTTCTTCATCCATAACGATTTCCATAATAATTTGTCACCATCTGCCCAATGATAACAGAATCCCGATTCAAGTAGTCTAAGTTGGAACTTTTGCTTCAAACTCTTTTACCCCTTGAAGGTGAGTTAATGAGATTCATAAAGTCTCATTGAATCCTTGTTTTAGAGGGTAGGACATGTAACCTGATCCCAAATTAACTATGGGTGAGGCTTATCGCATGGCATTGGCATAGATATGGGCAGGTGCTTCTGTGGACAGGTTGTGCCTTTTGTTTGTTTGCTGCCAGCAGACTGACTTGTTGCCTGGGTGCTGTATTTTAAAGGAGTGTGTTCAGAGACATATTCATGGAAAAGGTTTGTGGGATGTGTGCTGTGCACCGGAACAGGTAGCAGAATTGGGTGTGAGGACAACCGCTCTGGGAGTGAAGCAACCCAGACCGACCACTGGCTAGCAGCTAAGGCCACAGCTGTGGCCCTTTTCTAGCAGGAAGTCTTGTATAGGTAAGAGTGATGGAAAGACCTGTGAGCCCTCAGCACTAAGCTTTGGTTCTGGAGGACACACACATGGAATCACCTGTGTGATTGGCTGCAGGTATCCAAGGTGTTTCATGTTTTCATGAGCTGCCAGCAATTATTACTTGATTTTTCTCCTAGTGGACAACTGGGCTTTGTCTACTTACATTCTTTCTCCAAGGGGTGGGTATGAAAAATCTTGAAATGGTTGTTCAAGATAATGAGTGTCAAAGGTAAGGTAGTTGCCTTGGATATTCCTAGTTCTTACCTGTGAAATAAGAGTGCTGAGTTACATGTTTTGGTAGCAGGTTCTGTTTGCCATCAACAGCTTCAGTAATACATCCCATTCCACATCCTCTTACACGTTCACCCTTGTCACCTCTTTATAGGAAATGGAGGCCAGCTCCTCTTCTCCAACCTTGGGTGGCTTTGATTTGCTTGTAGCAAATAGACTGGCTGTGGGGATGCTGTGGGGCTTTGGAGGCTGTATGAGCTGGAACATTTGCTTGGAGCCTTAAGTAAGTAGTCATCTGCCTTGAACAGCTGCACTGAAAAAACCCAACACCCACATGGAGAGACCCTGATCTTGCTAATGGTAGGAAAGGCTACAGGGAACTAGGAGTAAAGGCAGGCTTTGAGCAAGGTTTCTGTACTTGTAGCACTGAAAAGAATGCAAACTCCTGTGCCAGTGGGGTCCCTGCTTGCCAGTGTGGCTGAGTGAGAAGTCTGTGAGTCAGGGAATGAAGGAAACCGTGATGAAGAGTCTAAGGTGCATAAAATTGCACCTCCCATGCTGAGGTGATGACAGTAACT